AGAACACATATTTATTATTTTTATTTTATATGTATGAGTGTATTGCCTGCATGTATGTAAGTGCACCCATGTCATGTTGTGCAATGCCTTGGAGGTCAGAAGAGGGTGTCAGATCCCCTGGAACTGGAGTTACAGATGGTTGTTAGCCATTATGTGGGTGCTGGGAATTGAACCTGGATCTTTTGCAAGAGCAGCAAGTGCTCTTAACTGCTGAACCATCTCTCCAGCCCCCAAGAAAACATATTTCAACTCATTTATGCATGGCTAATGATTAGCATCACGAAGTGTTCTTTTCAGGACTGTGGGGACCTAAAGGCCCCACCTTGCAGAGGTCCGAGAGGAAGCTACTGGGGCCCAGCCTGACTTGTTTTAAAAGTCTGAAGGATACTTCCGCACTGCTGAGGAGTGCATGATCAGCACGTGACCATCCTTAAGATATACCCTCAGCGGGGAGGAGGATTTCCAGATGCCTTTATAAGCTCTGTAACACCTACAATAAATGAGTCCCTGCTTGACTAGGCTCCCCGTTGCACCTGAGTGTTCCTGGTACTGGGGACAGCATGGGCTGGTGAACAGCGTGCTTACTCATCATCCCCAATCATCACTGCGCGGGGGTTGCTGGTTCGAACCCCCCCGCACAGGACAAGTTGATTTATCTAGTGTATAGGATTTAAATACAAGTGTAGTGATAAGTTCTTAGACATCACATAATCTAGTCAGGGAAAGATTTTGGGGAGTGAGAAAGTTTTCCTTTCAAGGCTGTCTAAAGTCTCACTGTCATAGTTGGCTTCAGTTGTGAACTTGACACACTTGGGGAGAAGGAACCTCAAGTGGGGAATTTCCTCTATCAGACTGGTCTGTGGTCATGTCTGTGAGGCATTTTCTTGATTGTGGGAGGGCCCAGCCCACTGTGGGTGATGCTACCCCTGGCTAGGTGATCCTGGGTTATGTAAGAAAGCAGCTGATGTAGGTCTCTGTAAGTCTGTCTGCTTTCCTGAACTCTTCAGGAAGGTGTAATTTCTCCTTTTCTCCTTCATTCCTTTCTCACTAAACATGGTTTCTTTATGGCTTTGGGCTGCCCTTAGCATCTTGTAGTTCTTCACTTTTTCTCTAAAGCCTCCTTCTCCCAGCCATGTGGCTATGAGTCAGCCATGTGTCTGACCTCCATGCAGGCTCTAAACTTGCATTGCTTCATGATTTTCTCTACTTCTTCCCACCATTCACCTTCTCAAGGCAGCTCGCCTGCCCTGAAGATTTTTCTTTAAGATTCTAATAAAATTGTAAAAGCTTCAAAAAACAAAACAAAACAAAACAAAAAGAAAGCAGGCTGAGTGTAGGTAGAGGAATAAGCCAGTAAGCAGCATTCCTCAATGGTTGTATTCAATTCCTACCTGGTTTCTCTCAAAGATGGACTGTCATTTGAAACTGTAAGATGCAATAAACCCTTTCTTCCCCAAATTGTTTTTAGTCAGAGTGTTTTATCACAATGTTCTGGTTTGTTTCTTCATTGCTATGACAAAACACTGACCACTACCAACTTTGGGAGGAAAGGGTTTATTCAGCTTATAACTCCCAGGTTTCAGTTCATCAGGGAGCCCAAGGTAGGAACTCAGGGCAGGAACCTGGAGGCAGGAGCTGGTGCACAGGCCATGGAGGAATGCTGCTTACTGCCTTGCTCCTCTGGTCCCTGCTCAGCCTGCTTTCTTATGCAACATAGGCCCACCTGTCCAGGGGTGGCACCACCCATAGTGGGCTGGGCCCTCCCACATCACTCATCAAGAAGATGCCCCTCAGATATGACCACAGGCCAGTCCAACAGAGGAAATTCCCCAATTGAGGCTCCCTCAACCCAGGTGTGTCAAATTGACACTAAAGCTATCCAGCACGATTGACCCCCTGTCAACTTGACACACAAACACATCACTATTAAACCATAACCTTTCCAATTCTCATCCCCAAGATATGTTAATATAACAACATAAGACAGTACAACCTTAAAAGCCTCATGGTCCTTAAAAAATCCAAACACTTGAAAGTCCATAGTCTCTTTTAAAAGTCTCAACTGTGGGTGGGCTTCTGTAAAATCCAAAACAAGTACTGTCTTATTTCAAAGGGAAGAATTGGGCGTACCTAAGCAAAACCAAAGTCCAGCAAATTAGCTCAAGGCTGGACATCTGGGATTCACTCACGATCTTCTGGGCTCCAAAGGGTACTGGCAGCTCCACTGCTCTGACTCTGCAGTCCACAGCACACTCAGCTCCTCTCGCAGATCCAGGCCAGCTCCATTCCACACCTGCCGCTGTCCTTGGTGGTCGTCCCATGGTCCCAGCATCTCCAAAAAGCTGGGGTCGCCACTGAAACTGAGGCTACACCTTCACCAATGGCCTCTTCTTGCCTCTTGGGGTGCAAAGCCTCAGTTTCTCTCCATGACCCCTTCAATCCTGGGGTCTTTGCTGCAACTGAAGTTGCACTTTCACCTACGGTCTTTTCTGGCCTCTCAGAGTGCCAAGCCTCAGCTGCTCTCTATGACCCCTTCACGCTTTCAACACCAGAACCATGCAGGAGACTCTTACACATTACCAAGTCCTGCTTCCAGCTTGAAATAGAGTTGCAGGTTCCTTCTGTGTGCTGACCCTGAGGAAATACCTCCCAGAAGACTCCACCACAATGATGCTTGTCTCTCGTTACTTATAGCTGACTTTTCAGTCCCAGCTAACCAGCCTCAATTGTCCCAGTAAAGCAAAGATTTTGCTTCAGGTTCTGGTCTCTTCTTAATCACAGCTGATTCTTCAGCCCCAGCTGACCAGAACCCAATCCAAAATCTCACATGAACAGCCCTGATCGTCTCTGCTTCCCTTTGAAACTTCACAAGCCAGGCCTCCATCATCTACAACTCTTTCAGCATAACTGTTCCAAGCTCCACAGCAACAAACTCTGAGCATGCAATGGCTTTTCCAGCCCAAAGTTCCAAACACTTCCACAATCCTCCCCAAAACACCAAGGTCAGTCTGTCACAGTAATACCCCACTCTTGGTACCAATTTCTGTCCTGGTTTGTTTCTTCATTGCTATGACAAAACACTCGGACCACTACCAACTTGGGGAGGAAATGGTTTATTTATTCAGCTTACAACTCCCAGGTCGCAGTTCATCAGGGAGCCCAAGGTAGAAACTCAGGGCAGGAACCTGGAGGCAGGAGCTGGTGCACAGGCCATGGAGGAATGCTGCTTACTGCCTTGCTCCTCTGGTCCCTGCTCAGCCTGCTTTCTTATGCAACATAGGCCCACCTGTCCAGGGGCGGCACCACCCACAGTGGGCTGGGCCCTCCCACATCACTCAACAATCAAGAAGGTGCCCCATGGACATGGCCACAGGGACACCCAGAAGTGAGCCTTATTAATCTCTAGGCATTTATTGATACAATCAAAATTAACCATCACACGTATGGAGCTGACTTTGGGGAACATGAAACTTGCTTTGATTTCTCTATAAAAAGTGTATTTCTTTCTCTTTCCCCTTTTAGGCTAAGTTTCTTACTGAATACTGATAATTACAGCATTGTCCTTTTTGTTAAAAAATTTTGCTCCATTTAGAAGATATCAGAAGGCAGAAACTATGGCATTTTCATCTGTTGACTTTCTCATAGTGCCTGGTGTAACTTTACTATTACTTTATGCAGCAAAACCTCAGTATTTACTTCTTGTATATTTATAAATGGATCCTGTAAGTCCCAGAAACTCACCAGATGATTTGGTTATTCAAATTCGAACTTTATTAGGTACCATCAAAGCTTGCAGGATTCATTGAGTGGGGTTCAGGATTAGGAAGGCTCTGAGAGTAGAGACCTTAAGAAAAGGACTTTCTGGGAAGGAGCCCAGGAGGAAGGGAAAATCCAAATTAGTTGGAACCCTTTAGCTATGAGCCAACAACAGACAATAACATTACGAAAAAGGAGAAAGGGAACTTGGGTTGGAGGGCCTTTGATAAATGTCACATTTCTGAATAGCTTTTGGATCTGAGTGGGGCAATAAGGGCAGGAGAATTGAACTGTAATAAAAGAATTTTAAACTAAAGAAGCCACTCTAAAGCTCAAATCATTGGACAGACAACTTTTACTGAACTATATTGACTTATTCATAAAATACCATTTACTGAATGTTTCCTATAAGCCAGGCAGGACTCATTGTGAAAGATATACAGATGAATGAAGTAGGTCTTTATGGATTCTCTAGAATACTGCAGAGATCAACCTAGGTAAGGTTGAATATTATATAGGTGCTACAAACCTGAGAAGCAAAATTCTCAGGAGTTTCAGAGAACGTACAGGTCATTTCTGGCTGCTTGATTTAGGCAGGAGGCTATTCACAGTTGAAGGAACAGTACAATATTTGTAGCGAAAAGCAGCTGCTTCATTTTATCTCTAACCTATGTGTTCTCCAGAATCTATTATCCAGAAGGATAAAAGGTGAAAGCGGGGATAACCTTCTCTTGCCTATAACACGCAATAGTGTTCAGTTTTCCTATTGAGATAACACGCATGGTCCTTCTTCAGTCTTGATCCTGGTATGAAGCAGGGAGCATTTCATGAGCACAGACACTAGAAAGGACGGAGAAGTCACCCACGAACAAGTTTAGCCCCTTGACGATTACTGGACGCCAAGAATGGAAGAACGTAAAACAGATTTGCGAGTAAGGAAATAACCTCAAAAGGGAGGGAACTGGGCTGGGCTTTAGGCCACCTTGCTCCAGCTTGGCAGCCTGGCGTCTTGATTCCTTCAGTTGCGGTTGGGTCAGGTTCATACCCCGCGCTCCAGTGGCCGTGTACGCGGTGCGCACCCCGCCTCTGCCTGGCGTAGGGAAGGCGCTCCGCCCTCGGGAGCGCGCGCGCTTGGCCCCTCGGCGCGGCGTGCGCGCTCCCGTTCGGCCTCCCACCTCCTCCTCCTCTGTCGCAGCCCGCCCCCTCCCTCGCCTCTTCCTGCCCGGCGGTCCTCTCCCCTTCTCAGACCGCTCCCTCCGCCCTGCTCCCTCCGCCCTCCCCGGGCTTCGGCGGCTTCGGAGTGTACAGGACCGGCCCGGCCACAGAGCGCAGGGCGGCGGGTGGGACTCGGGCGCCTGACAGAGTTGTTCCGGCGGCGGCCGCGGAGACGTGAGGTGAGGCGAGGGCGGCCTCCGAGGGGCCCGAGGGCGGCCTGGCGGCCCGGAGCAGTGGTCCGACTCGGCCGGGGGGGTCAGAGAGGGTCGAGGTGCGGGCCCGGCCCGAGACCAGGATGCTGGAAGACCGGGGAAGGACGGCAGCGGGCGGGCTCCGCCGGGTCGGCCGCCGCCGAGACTCCGGGGTTCTTGGGGTGGCCGCGCGTCGCGGCCCGGCGGGCGGGAGGGAGGCGGGGTGGCGCCCCTCCCCTGGGGCGGGGTGGCGGGCTCCGCCGGGTCGGCCGCCGCCGAGACTCCGGGGTTCTTGGGGTGGCCGCGCGTCGCGGCCCGGCGGGCGGGAGGGAGGCGGGTTGGCGCCCCTCACCTGGGGCGGGGTGGTGGCTCTGGCGGCGGCCACCTCCAGCTGTGCCCTCCTGACATTGCCGCCGCCCCCGCCGCCGGCTGCTGGGATGTGGCTGCTGCCGGGTTCCCCAGTCCAGGCTGCCCGAGTCCCGGGGGCGTGTGGTGAGGGTATTTTCTTGCTCACTTGCAGTCGTTTGGTGGTGACCGAGCCCTTCCCTCGCTCTTCCCCTTCTTCCACTCGGCGCACTTCACTCCGCTCGTGCTGTCGACGCTTGTGGTTTTGCAGTCTGGGATGGGCTGCTGCTTGGGCAGATCTCTACCTGCAAGGAATGCCCCGCTTCAAAGTTGACCGCATGGGCCAGGGCAAACACCCTTCCACGCTCCCGTGCAGGTTGTGGGTGCTCCGCGTCCTGATAACTGAGTCAAAGTTTCTGAGACTGGGTTAGTACTTTGCACTGATCGCAGACAGTGCAAGGCTGGGCAGTGCGTCAGCTTGTGCAGGAGGTGACCCAGAGCAAGGGGGCTGAACTGACAGTTCATTTCAGATTTCAAGGCAGTATGATCAGGTGCTGTGTATTCTCCTGGGACTTCTCAGAGTTACCTCAGAAATGTGGTCAAATTTGGGCGATCCTTGTGCAGAATTAATGTTTTTATGCAGATAAAGTGAACCGCTAAACTTCCATAACATTAATTAGGGGAGCTTTTGCTTGCTTGACATATTTAGTGCTGTTTGGAAGCTGATTTCAAAGCCCTTGTTTTGTCCCTGGAAGGCTTAGGACCTTTTAATGCATTTTAATTTTCTTGTATATAGGAGCAGGTGGGTATTTCCTTCCTAGAATCAGAGAACACAATTTCATGAAAACCTTCAGACTTTTCCTGGTAGTGTTTACATTTGGTGTCTGCTGCACTCCTGTAGTTAATCCAGTACTTAAGATGTCAGAAATATAGGCATGAAGCTTGGGGTCAAACTGGAAGGAGATTTTGTCTGCAAAATATTAGTCCACAAGCTGCTAGGAAAGGGAAAATGGTCTGTGATTCATCTTGGTTGAGTGCCCTATATGAAATTCATGTTGAGGTTGCAAAGCAATTCTAGATGAATTTAATGTATATATTATCACTAAGTAGTACTGCTTGGGAAGTTAGCTAAGACTTTGAGTTAGACTGATGTCTATAGTCAATTAGTTCAAGATGTACTCCAATGTCACTAAGTCATCTGGGGGAGAAATAGAGGTGGTAGTGCAAGGGTTGTTTATCTGCGAGCATATTGTATAGCTTAATTTATGTTCTGGGAAGGTGGAAACAAGGTAGTAAGTTCCAGTACTATTTGGGACAAATAAACATACAGACCAACTGAAAAAGTTGTGACTGTAAGTCTATGAAGTTTCTTTTCTTTTTTTTTTTTTTTGGTCATTTGATAGGAAGCTTTGTGTATTACATTTGTGATGTTCTGAGAATTTTTTTGATAATTGTCTAATGATTCATACTAGTTTTTTATTTGAGGGAATGCTGTTTTTGTTGGGATTAATTAAGAACAGGGTCTTATACTGTAGCTCTGACTGGCCTGGAACTCACTGTATAACCCAGGCTGTCCTTAAACTCATGGCAATCCTTCTGCCTTAGCCTCCTACGTGGTGGGGTTGTAGATGTGAGCCCAGCAGTGTTTTTCTTTGCTATTAAGCATTTGAAACAAGAGTTTTCATTTCTACCAGCTTACCAGTTCTGAATTTGACTGCTAAAAACTTTTACTTTAATTTTCTTTCTTTGCTTTGACCCAGACTTGAAATTACTTCATTACTGTATATTTATTTGAACTCTCAAATACTGTATTAAGCTGAAAGCCCTAGCCCTGGGGGAGTAGTGAAAAGAGGGACTTCTGTTGTTCCAAGTAAAAATATTGTGTGAGAGAGACAAATAGGTTTCTAGATACTGACTTTGAAGAAAGCAGCTAAGTAGCAACAATTTCTTGTACTGGAGGGGTATAACTGGGATTGTATTTCATCCTGCCATTCTTTAAGTGATGTGGGGATGAGGGTGTTTGGAGATTGAAGTCAATACTTTGGGATTTCCACAGCAGAACTTTTTTTTTTTTTTAATGTCTCACAAGTTTCAGTCAGTTTTTGCATGTTTATAATTCATATCAATGATTCGGCTCTGGGGTTTGAGGATGACCTAAACCCAAGGAAAACTTAAGATTTTTTTCTTTTTTATTTTCTAGCCTTTTTTGAGACAGAGTCTTGCTTCCAATTTACTATGTATTTTAGCTTGGCCTTGAACTTGTGATCCTCCTCTGTGTGCTGAATTATACCACCATGCCTGTTTAGGGGGTGGGTTGAGACAGGGTCCTGTGTAGCCCCAGCTGCCTTGGGACTCTGTATGTAGACCAGGTTGGCCTCTATCTCACAGATACCAGTCTGCCTCTGCCTCCTGAGTGCTGGAAACAAAGGTGAGTGCCACCACGCCCAGCCAACTCAGGGATTCATTGACAAAGAAATAGAAACAGATTAATGATAGAATTGAACTTGAGTTATAAAGACAGTCTTTTTTTTTTTTTTTTTATGGAGAAAGACATGGCATGACTTGATTGCTATGTTTTCAAAATAGGCACTAGTTAGGCTTTGCAAATAGTATTTGAATTGAATATAAGGATGTGAACATTAGTAGATCCTAACAAGGAAGAATTAATGGAATTAAGCAGAACTTATGTCTGAACTTTAAAAAGAATTTCATTTAGATTCTGTATCGTTCTTAATCAGCAGACAAAACGTTTGCTGTTTTAGTCGTTTGAATGTAGCAAGTTCATGTTCATGACTCCTTTTTTTTGGCTTTCTTTTGGTGGTTTTTTTTAAAATATACTTTTTGCTGATTTTCCTAGAAAACTTCTAGGTATATATTGATGTAGAGTTAGATTTTTGGCTAAGATTATTAGTACACTTGAAACTTTGAGCCTTCTTGTTTTCTAAATAGTCTTGAAAATAGAAAACACAATTTGTCATAAATATTCACAAAAAATCTAGCTACAGGCTGTGTTGTTGTGATAGACATAGTACAGCCAAAAATACATTTAAGAAACTTCTTTGCTCCTCATCCAGTTTAGTAAGCTTAAATAAGAAAAGTATTTCTTCAACAAAAGTCTACTTTTTCCAGAATATCAAGTTTAACAACTTTTTGCTGAATTGTTTTTTTTCTCTTGGTTATTCTAGATTCAACAAGTACTGCATGTCTCTAAAAGTAGATTAATGTAAAAACATAATTCTAATAGGGAATTCTTAGCAATAAAAGTCTCATTGGAAGATGCAAGATTGTGTTGGAAATTTGGGGAAATTTAGGTATGGAAAATTCACTTTTTACTTCCCTGGTTTTCTTTGTACCAAGCTTCTCAATTAGGTGGGGGCATTGACACAAACACCAGAATCACAGGTCTTTTTCATACTATAGGATCTCCCTCCTCCCTTGACAAAGGAAGCCACGGTATTAGTAGTACTGTGGTAGTGTATTGTGTCTTTCAGGTATATGGACCTGAACAAAGACAGAAAACCTTGACCTTGGCTGATAATTTCTAAACCCCCATACATAACACCCTATAATTTAATTGTCTTATGGTGTCTGTTACTCTCCTTTCTGAAGAGAGGTATGCATTGTGATGAAGAGGCTATGTAACCAAGAATAAGATTTATTGATTTGTATACATGAAGGATACTGGAGATTGTTGAATTGAACTGTTTTGACTATACCCCAGAGAGTGAAATACTGAATATCTTGCTTTGACTTGTATATGAGGATACACAGAAAATGAGATTGAAAGAACAGTTGGTGAAATATGAAATGCTCCTTATCTGTTCAGGCCTTGATGAGTTGGTTACTGACTTTCAACAGAAACTGCATATCTCTTTTCACCTAGTTGCATGTTCAGTGATATCATCATTGTTATGTGACTGGTCAGAGTGGGAGTATTTATACCTGGGACAATAAGCAAATGGTACAATTTGGTCTCCCTGTCATAGCTAATTGTTAGGAGTAAAGCACATCACTGGCTATAATACACTTTGAAATACTCTTTCAATTTACAAAAAAGTGCTAGAATTTAACCTTCAAATTAATTTTATATCCAAATAAGGGTTAACAGACTCATTAAAAACAAGTAACACCCCCACAAATAAACACAGACAAACAAATTAGTTTAGAATAGTCTTCTAACTGTAGAGGAACAGACAAAGCCTAAATAAAGTTCAACATCATATGGACAATTGTTGGCAAACACACTGGAGGTTCATTCATTCTCATTCTCTCTCTCTCTCTCTCTCTCTCTCTCTCTCTCTCTCTTCCATGAAGTAAGCAGTTTTCTCCTGACATGGTGTTCCAGCTTCACCTCAAACCAGCACAAGTGGAGCCTCAAAACTGTGAGCACTCCTGGTCCCTTATTTCCATCTCTGACATGCTGGAATTATAGACATGCAACTATCCTGCCTGGCCTAGAATTGTTTCTAGTTGGCTTCTGTCTTTTATTAACCCAAGCCATTCATTTAATTCAGTTCCAGAACTTTATATGTACAATGCATTTTATTAAGCAGTTTGAATAGAGATAAATAAGGCTTGGACCTTGACCTTGAAGCCGTTATGTTTATTTGAGGGATTAAATATGAGAACAAAGATAATGCAAG